GTAAGGGATGGGAGGGAGGGGTAGGATGTCAGATATGACGCGAGCGCATCTAGCTTGTCCTCCACCTCCTCCTCCTCCTCCTCCTCCTCCTCCTCCTCCTCCTCCTGCTCCTGCTCCTGCTCCTCCTCCTCCTCCTCCGCCTCCTCCTCCTCCTCCTCCTCATCCTCCTCCTCCTCCTCCTCCTCCTCCTCCTTTCCTGCCTCCCAATCCTTCCTACCTCCCCCTCCATCTGCAGGAGGCCGACGACAACGGCGACGACGACAACGGCGACGACGACAACGGCGACGACGACGACGACGACGACGGCGACGGCGACGGCGACGGCGACGGCGACGGCGACGGCGGCGGCGGCGGCGACGGCGACGACGACGGCGACGGCGACGGCGAGCCCTCGCGGCCGCGCGGAGGCCGCCTCTGCAGCGCATCCGTCGAGTCTCTCTCGCCGGTGGGGTCCGCGCCGAAAGACAGTGCGCTGACCGTCCTGGCCTCTCCGGCCGGGGGCGAGGGGGCGGGCGGGCACAGCTGCAGACCATACATGCACAAGGCTCCTCTTGCTCCTCCTCTTCCTCCTCCTCCTCCTCCACCTCCTCCTCCTCCTCCTCCTCCTCCTCCTCCTCCTCCTCCTCCTCCTCCTCCTCCTGCTCCTCCTCCTCCTGCTCCTCCTCCTCCTCATCATCATCCTCCTCATCGTCCTCCTCCTCCTCCTCCTCGTCCTCTTCTGCGGGGGCGGGCGGCGGGGGGCGCCCTGGAGGGCTGCAATGGCAATGGCAATGGCAATGCTCGGCCGCAGGGCTGCGGGGATGGGGGTGCAGAAAACCTTCCCAGAGGCCCGCCTCCACGTGTCGGGCCAGGCGCGTGCCCTATACCTGGGGCTCTTGCGGCACACTCGGGGTACGTCGCTCTGCCTGGTGGCAGAGATGACCTGCCTACGGCATCCCACAGAACTGCACAGTCGGTGGGGGCGGGCCTCTCAGCTTGGCGTTCCCTCGGGGGAGGCAAGCCTCGGAGGACATCCCAGCTCTGACGGACGTCCTGCGGCTTCAGCGGGTCTCCTGCTGTTTCCGTTGGCTACGCTCAGACTCCGCAGCGTAAGGGTACAAGGCATCGGTGCCGGACCCTTCCTGGGACTCCATCGCGAAACCCTCGGACGCCCGACTGTGCTGAAGGATTGGCCGAAGAGACAAAAATCACAGGCAAGCATTGAAACGGGTACTCTATCCCGACAGGGCTGCAAAAGAAGAGGAGGCGGAGGACTTGCTTTGTGCCGTCCCCCCGCCAACCCACCAGTCACGAAAAGCAGATCACTTGAGAACCAAATCGTGCTGCAGGGAGCCCTGGACGGCAGCTTGGCACACATTGCTTCGCAAAGAAATGGAGGTCCCAAGACCTCTGGTGGAATGGACTCGTTCCGTCCGTGGGACCTGGAGCCCTCCACTCCCCTTCCCAGGGCCGCCATTGGTCGGCAGCCCCGGGCCACTTGTCGGCAGCCCCAGGGCCTGGGAGACCAGTTTCCGGGAGGCCGAACCCAAGGGAAAAGCCAGGAGTGAAAGCAGAGATCGGCCAGAGACGAGACGACGCGGGCCATTCTGGGAAGCCCGCCCGTGCCCGTCAGGGCACGTCCTGGAAGCCGTGACTGATCAATCATGGCTGCTGGCAGCAAGCGTCTTCAGGGATCGGGGTACAATAGGCACCCGGAACCATCGAGTCGCCCGGGGGGGCAGTTTCTGGTAGGTCTTGTGACCACCAAGGACAAATGCGGGCTTTCGGGTCCCCTCTGCCCTGCTGGGACAAGGAGGTGGCGCCCACGGAAGCGATCCCTGCTGGCTGGCAAGGCCCTGACAGCAGCACCATCAAGCAGCGCTGGCGGACCGCAGGTCGGCTTGCCTGCATGGCCCGATGGGGGCGTTCGAGCAGCGGCAAGGAGGAGCAGCTGATTGGGGGTCCCCAAACATGGTGCGGTGACAGCCCCTGCGTTGACCTCGGAATCCTCAAGGACCTCACCCCGCACGGTCCGTCACCGCACGGTTTCAGTCTCAAAAGCGTGCGACCACCCCGACTCCCCCCTGACCCACCACACAGTTTGGTCACCGCACCGTGTCGGGGCCCCCGAAGCTGGGCGCTCTCAACCGCTCAGCCACCCAGGACAAACCACCGCCGCCGACTGGCAGCGGCCAGGCGTGCGGCAACACCCGGCCGCAAGCCGAACAGCTGCGGCCTGGCGTGGTGCTGCAAAGGAGGCAGGGCCGCGAGCGAAGGATGCGCGGTCAGGAGGCAAGGGCCTTGGAGGCACATGCGGACGTTTTTCAAGCGAGGTTGGCCAGCGAAAGTGGCCAAGCATGGACCCGGGAGGCAAGGATGCAAAAGGGTACCCTTGGGAAGGTTGCCCGTCCTTACCATGCGGGTTGACCGTACTGCCGGGGAGCGGCGCAGGCCCGCGCGGACCACACCCGCGGCGAGGGACGCCCAGGGTGCCGCCCTGCGCTCCGGGCGCCCGGCGAGCACCCGCAGCAGCGCTGCCACTGCCGCCAGCGCACCCCGCAGCTGGCCGCGCGCGGCTGGCCCAGCAGCGCCGGAGGAGAGGAGCTCGGCGCAGACAGACCAATGCGAAAGGGGCCTCACGACACACAAATACATACACACAAATCCCAGGAGCCCCCATATTTTCCATAGTTTCTTGATTTTCGTCTTCCCCCCCCCCACACTTCCCATATTTTCCCATCTTCGCCTAGGAAATCGACGATTCATGGTGTATGTATGTTTTTCTCCTCGTGAAATGCCCAGGTCCACCCTCAGGGCCGTGGCCCCACTCCAGGATGTCGCGCGACGGGCGCACCTGGGGCAACGCGCTCCGAAGCTTGCGCTGGGGGCCGTCGCGATCCGGCCCACGTGCCCAGGTCGGCCTACGGGCGCTGGTCCCCTCGGGAGGAGGCGTGCGCGCTGCGCGCCTGACGCAGCGCAGGGCGGAGGAAAGCAGCGACCCCGCAGGGTGCGGTGAGGGCAACGATCGCAGCCCTCACCCGCCCCCACGAGACCTTGCGCACGCGTGGCAGCGCCCGCCGGCTGGCCGGGGCAGCACGGGGCGAGCGGTAACCCCACGAGGACGGCACCCTGAGGTCCGACGTCACGAAAAACCTGCGACATCGCAACAAAAACTCGACCAGAGAGCTACGGCCAGCGGCGCCCAGAGGCCACGACGTCCGCCGCGGCGGCTGGAGTCCTGAAATGAGCGACGATAGTGACCTCGCGCCGCGGCTTACGCGGGCCGCCAACGTGGCACACCGCGTGGAGACGAGGGCGCTTACGCGCGGCCCCACGTGGGAAGCTTACGCGCGCTTGCCGGCGCAACCGATCCCGTTTTCTTCCGTCGCTAAGATGGGTGCGGCGGAGGCCCGCGGGGGCGCGGCAGAAGAGAGGAGCGCAGTCGCACGGCGCGATGCCGAGATCGTCATCGTCTGAGTCTGCTCCTGCCGGCGCCACCGACGCCAACAACGAGGGCAAAGAGGTCTGCTGCTTAGTCAGTGCTGCTGTGCTGCCAGCCGAGAGGCCAGAGCTGTTTTCCGACAAACTGAAAGCGACCATCGAGTCCAGAGTCAAGAGGAGGAAGACGAAAAGATCAATAAGGACCGCTCGGCTCCTAAGCGGGGGGCACAAGCGCAGGCACACAGGGAAGGACAGTCTGCCGCGGGCCACAGAGTGCCGAGCTCAGGGCTCCGGCGTGAGCGTGGAGGGAGGCGGGTGCGAGAAGCGGAGCAGGAAGAGGGGAAGATGAGGAAGCACGGCAACCCAGATGCGAAGTGAAAAAACTGCCAGCGCGCCAAGCACGCGTTGGCCACCAGACAGCGCGCAGGACACGCGCCGGCCGAACAAGCACGGCCCCAGACCTCCCGCGTGTCTGGGGCGTCGAGGAGGGCAGCGTGGACGAAGGGGGTTCACAATTCATGGCCCAAAGGGGGGCCAAGGAAGCTGTTGAAAGAATAAGATATGGTATGGCCATTTCATATGTGAGACATCATGCCCCAGCCACGATACGCACCCCCCCCCAAAGCATCACCCCCGAGCCCTGGACGCCAGCAACGAGCACGGGAAAAATGGGCACGATGCCCAACACCAACCGCTGTCCAAACCGTCAGCGGCCGCTGTGGGGCAGACGACCTCTGGTCTCAAGAGGCCCACGCCCGCGGCGGCACTGCTGTCGGTGCTCGTAATTGCCCGCCCCTTCTGTGCCCGCCTCGAGCGTGCTGACGGCAGGCCTCCCCCGCGCCCTGAAAAAACCGCGGGGCGGCCGGCCCTTGTGGCTCCTGGCAACCCCCAAAAGGCCCTCTGGTGGACCCAAGAGGGGCTCCCAGGCTGAAAAGGAGGGGGGGTGCAATAGAGTTGGGGCCACTGTATTGCAAATGTACTGCGACGGAGAGTCGTGTTGCACAGCACGCTGCCACGAATGTACTGCACGCGAAGAGGCCGCAGGACACTTGCGCTGCGGAAGGTAGTGCGCACGCCCCACATCTGTTGCAACCCCTTCTCTCTATTGCGCCAAATCTGGTGCACCACCCCCTTCTCGCTGGGCCTCCACGGGCCAGCCGGAGGGGATCCGGGGCGAGGAGCGACGCGCAGGGAAGCGGTCGGGGCCGCTGGGAGGTCCGTGACTGTCAACAAAAAACACACCTCGGCGGAGGTCTGGAGATAGAGGTGGGCCGGGCATGTCCCCCTACAGGCGGAATTTGGACGGAAAAACAAATAATACTCAAAAAAGTGGTCCCCAAAATATGTTCAACTATTTTTTGAACACTCCTCCTGTGGAGGGGAACGCCCGACTTAAAGATAGACGCCCGGGCGCAGGGCACCGCATGAGGGCGGCGCCCTATGCATGCCTCCAGGTTCTGTGGAGGGCGATTCAGGTACGGCAGGTTCGCGTCGTGTCGACCCTGGCATCGGTTCATGACACCTCGAGGACCGTTCAACCTTAAACGATCGGCCGTTTCCGAAACGTCAAAATCGTTCCACGTCAAACGATTCTGGGTCGCCTTGGCGACCAACGTTGAACACCGTTGGCGGGGTCGCCGCTGGTCGACACGACACGAACCTACCGTATGGGGGCGATGGACTGGGCATGTGCATAGTCATCTCGTCAATTTCGAATCAGCGCTCGCCTGACACCGTTACACAGAATCTTGACCCCACGTTCCCGCTCGACAACGTCAATGTCTTCCAGAAAGCGGGCGACGGACGCACGGTAGAGTTTACGGTCCCCTTCCACCAACTTATTGACAGCAGTGGTAATATGCTCAGGATACTCCGCAAGCGAATGGTGTTGCACACCATGATTAATGTTTGAAACATAAAATCTGTTCCATTCATCTTGATTTTCGCAATTGCAGCCAACAGGCAACTCCCCGAGGAGTTTCGCTGACAATAAACAGGCTGACTCGTGGAAGGCTTCGACAACACCAACAAAGGCTGCATGTTGCATATTGCGAATTGCCAGGTCCGTGTCAGCACGCATAGGATAATTGTAGGGCTTCAAGCATGACATGCGCTGGATTTGCATGTCCACAGGATTATAACACTTGAACGGCACAGAGGTACGATAGGTTGGTACAAATGTTGCTTCATCATAGGATGAAGTAAAGTCGCCCACTGCGCCACCACGCCTTTGTATTTCAGTCCAATTTTGCACCCACGCCCCAAACGTTGTGGGCAGCATCTCCTTCACTTCTTTTGGTGGCCAGCGCGAACTTGCACAGTGATAATCCGCTACCTTACTGTAGGCTCTGAGTGGGTGTCCGCATGTCCTTCGTAGCCCTCTGCATTGAGCAGCTTGTCCTCATTACCTGCTACTGTCTACGCCCTCAAGGGCCATAAATCCCAAGTTGGGCGGCCTTTCCTGAGGCCCTGGAAACATGCTTGCAGATCTTCCGCTGGTCCGCCGTGCCCGACAAGATACCGCTCTTGGGGGTCCCTAGGGTCGCCTTGAAAGTCATGGGTAAGCGGCCGACGAGCCCAAAAGCACCAAAAAAACTCAGACTTTGCGGAAAATTAGCAGTCTCGCTTTGTCAGGCATCAGAGCACCCAAAACGGCCCAAGGCCACCAAGGCTGCCGTAAGGAGGCCCCCGAGGCCCCCACGAGGCCCCCCAAGACCGCCCAGGGAAGGGCCAGAGAAGCGTGTTACCGCCAGACCGCTGAAATCTCCCCTCCAAGATGGGCCCAAGCCTACGGCAGGTTCGCGTCGTGTCGACCCTGGCATCGGTTCCTGACACCTCAAGGATCGTTCAACCTTGAACGATCGCCCGTTTCCGAAACGACAGATCGTTCGACGTCGACAGATTCTGGGTCGCCAGCAGCGATCAACGTTGAACACCAGCGGCGGGGTCGCCGCAGGTCGACACGACGAGAACCCACCGTACACCTCGACACGACGCGAACCTGCCGTACAGTGCGGGCGCGGTCGCAAGAAACCCTCGCAAGAAAACCAAGCCCTCAAAACCCGCGCGCGAGGTGACCCTGAGGGGAATCACGGAGAACCCTGAACGCAGCAGCTCCTTTGACGGCCGCGGGAAGTCACCGCGCAGCGCGCGGAGCGAAGAAACCCAAGGCACCCCGACGAAAAGTAGATCGTTCCTTGATGCGCCCCCCCGGGCCCCCAAAAGACTCCCAAGAGGCCGCCAGGAGGCCCCAGAGAAGAGTCCCCAAAGAACCCGCACGCCAGAGAGCCGCCGCGGCACTCCCCACCGTGTGTGCTCGCTGCGCCTCGCGCCCAACAGCCCGGGCACGGGGGTGGGCATGTGCCGAAGGCCACCAGATACATCGACAGGACGTGGTCCGACGGCCTCCGTAGCATGACGATGGTCTTCTCGATTCCCAGGGCCTCCGACCAGCTGTAGCACCCCTCGGACGAGACGAACCGAGGTCCCAGGATCTGGTTGACCTGGTCCGCCCAGGAGGTGCCTGGGAACAAAAGACTGCGCATACAGGAATGTTCTCCAGACATCCAACGATGTGAACTTGTAAATCCGTGGGCTCCAGGGAATTCGACACCTTCCTCTTTCGGCCGAAACCTATGTTTGCCTGTCCCTGGGGCCGTAAACGGTGCCCCGAGGCTGGAACACGGGAAAAACGCCAGATCTTCAACGAAAAAACATCCTTCGGAGGTCTGGGTTCCGCAATCCGCAGAAATCCCTCGGGTCGGCGCTGGGCCAACGTCCCCGCACGTCTACCATACAGCGCGAGGGGCGCGGCGGAGACGGCGCGGGAGGCTCCACCCAAGGTGCGCAGTGAGGGGGGGGGTCCAGCGCCGACCCGAGAGACCTGCGCGGATCTTGAAAAGTTTCGGCTTGCGCGGTCGTTTGGTCCCCCATCGCCTGCAGCCTTCGGAATGTGAAGCGCAAAAAACTGCTGCTTCGACGACGCCCTCATCGGCACAGAGAACGCCGCGGACGGGCGGCCCACACTCTGGGAGCGCCAGGGGCACAGACAGGTTGACAGACTCTCCCAAGGCACACACACTCTCTCACATACACGTGTATCTATACATGCATACACGCCTACTCAGCCGCCACCGTGCCTCCAGGCACGAAGGGAAGCTCGCCCCAGGCTCTCATGTGTTCTCTGCTCTCTGTGCTCAGGACTGGGGGATTTGGTATCCTGAGGACTGGGGCCCCAGATTCTCACATTTGCGGGGCGCTCCCGCGCGCTCCTGCGCTGCCTCGCAGGACGTTCATAAAAGCGATGGGGGCCCAAGACGGGCCGGGGCCCAAGAAGCGCGCAACAGACCTCCAAAACAGTCCAAGAGCGCTCCAAGACGCCCACAGTGTCCCCAAGACGTGCACAGGGGGTTCAAAGAAGCACCAAGAGCGCTCCAAGAAGACCCCAAAGAGGGCCCAAAAATGCAAACATCAAAAATGGCCATATGCGTGTCTATGTGGTTCCCCACAGTGTCGTGGGGTTCTGGAATTGTTCCCTGCCGCATCGCACCCGCGTCTCCCGCAACACAAACACACACACACACACACACACACACACACCTCCCTCCTCCCGTCTCCCCTCCTCGTCCTTCCTCCCCTAACCCACGCGCAACACATGCACGGCACGTACATAAGACACGCGTCCACATACAGCCACACGCTTGCGCACAGTTGCAGACACGCACACGCGCACACACACTAACAACGCCAGTGCACGCCTGGCGTGTTCACTGCAACATACACCCACGACGTATGCGCCACATACTGGGCACCGACATTAGAGACACGTCCAGATACAGCCGCTCAGGCATTATACACATGACACATACTGGGCACCCACATGAGACACACGTCCAGATACAGCCGCACACCTGTGATACACATCGCGCACACGCATCATAGACATCACGCAAAGTGTGGCAGGGGGGGCAATTTCTCGACGCCAACAAGGAGTGCGCTGAGTGTGGGGCCCTTATCCGTCGTAAGCTCGCAAAGTGTTGCAGGGGCGGCATATTTCTCGATGCCACAGGGGGTGTGCCAAGGGTGGGGTCCTTCTCCGCCGCACGCTCGCACAAGCGTGGCAGGTGTTGCAGTTTCTCGACGCCACACGGGGGGTGCTGGGAGGAGGGTTCTTACCCGTCGTACGCACGCAAAGCGTGGCATGGGCTGCATTTTCTCGACGCCACGGGGGGTGTGCAGGGGTGGGGCCCTTATCAGTCGTACGCTCGCAAAGCGTGACACAGGTGGCACTTCCTCGAAGCCACGGGGAGGGGGCTGGGGGTGGGGTCCTTATCCGCCGTACGCTCGCAAAGTGTGGCAGAGGTGGCATGTTCTCGACGCTACAGGTCATCCACCGCCTGCGAAGGTCGGTGAAGATCGATCCCGCAGGCGGTGTGCTGGAACTGGGGTCCTTATCCGTCGTACGCTCGCAAAGTGCGGCAGGGGGTGCATTTTCTCGACGCCACGGGGGTGTGGTGGAGGGTGGAATCCTTACCGTACGCTCGCATTGTTTGGCAGGGGTGGCATGTTTCTTGATGCCACGGGGGGAGTGCTGGAGGTAGGGTCCTGATCCGTCGTACACTCGCAAAGTGTGGCAAGGGTGACATGCTCTCGATGACACAAGGGGTGTTCTGGGGATGGGGTCCTTATCCGCCGTACGTTCGCAAAGTGTGGCAGGGGTGGCATTGTCTCGATGCCACAGGGGGGTGTGCTGGAGGTGGGGTCCTTATCCGTCGTACGCTCGCAAAGCGTGGCAGGGGTGGCATTTTCTCGATGCCGCAGGAGGTGTGCTGGAATTGGGGTCCTCATCAGTCGCACGCTCGCAAAATGTGGCAGGGATGGCGTTTTCTTGATGCCAGAAATCATTGATTCCCCCTAGGTTTTTGAAGGAGTTTGCCAGTTGCTTCTCTTCGGTCCTCCGACAGCCCGAGAGGCCCAAGAAGTCCCTAAAGATCCGCCCAAGATCTCTCAAAAGGCCTCCAACATGGCCCCAAAACGGCCCAAGAGACCCCCAAGGGGGCCCCAAGAGGGTCCCAAGACGGCCCAAGAGGCCTCCAAGACGCCCGAGATGGCCTCCAAGACGGCCCTGGAGCACCCCAAGAGGGCTCCAAGTCGGCCCAGAGAGGCCCTCAAGACGGCTTCCGACGGCGTCAGACGGGCCAGGAGGCCACCAAGTCGGAAGATGATGCAAGACAGCCCACGAGGCCCCCAAGAGGTCCCCAAGACGGCCCAAGAGGCCTCCAAGAGGTCCTCCAGGAAAGCCCGAAGAGGCCAAAATCATTGGTTGTCCTTCGGTGCTTGAAAGATCTCGGCATTTGTTTCCTGCCAGCCTTCCGACAGCCCAAGACGGGCCAAGAGGCCCCCGAGATCGCCCCAAGATCGCCCAAAAGGCATCCAAGATGACCTCATGACGGCCCAAGAAGCCCCCAAGAGGGCCCCAAGACGGCCCCAAGACGGCCCAAGAGGCCTCCAAGACGCGCAAGATGACCTCCAAGACGGCCCTGGAGCACCCCAAGAGGGCCCCAAGTCGGCCCAGAGAGGC